GGAAAGTAATAATCCTGAAATAATTTTGGTGTCTGAAAAATATATATGTGTGTATAAATTAAGAAAGTTATGTAATGTATTAATGTATTGTTAATGCAATATTTGCGTAAAATTAAGTTAATTAAATTTGAGTTTTGTTTATTATAATGTTTTAAGTTCTTTATTTTTAATTTTCAACAAATTCAATATTTATCTAAATTTTCTTAAAATTAATTTCCATGTTCTTAATATTGCTAATAAAGGTAAAGTTTGATCGAAAAATGTTCTAATTTAATATAAGTTTATTCTAATTTTTCGTAAGGTTATAAATATGGATTTAAAACTTTCTTTATCATTTTATAATTTAAATTATGTATGCAATAATTTTGGTTTCTAAAAAAAAAAAAATTCTATTTTTGTGTATTGTGCATAATTCAGATTATAAATTTCAGATTCTTTTGCAATTCAATTAACATTTGTCTCCTTAGATACATTATAAATATGTTGAATTATTGCATACATAATTTAAGTTATAAAATGATAAAGAAAGTTTTAAATCCATATTTATAACCTTACGAAAAATTAGAATAAACTTATATTAAATTAGAACATTTTTCGATCAAACTTTACCTTTATTAGCAATATTAAGAACATGGAAATTAATTTTAAGAAAATTTAGATAAATATTGAATTTGTTGAAAATTAAAAATAAAGAACTTAAAACATTATAATAAACAAAACTCAAATTTAATTAACTTAATTTTACGCAAATATTGCATTAACAATACATTAATACATTACATAACTTTCTTAATTTATACACACATATATATTTTTTGGACACCAAAATTATTTCATGAATTTAATTATGAAGAAAAATAAACAACTTTTAAACTAAGCACAGAACTTTGAAAAATAATTCTAACAAATAAGAATATTATATCTTCATATAGCATTTAAAACTTTGACTTAATTTACAAAAATGATTTAACTCCAAAACTAATAGGTAAAAAGAACTTATTATTAAGAAAATTCAAAAGCATATTATAGGGTACATTTTTACCAGTCTTTGAAAGGGATTTTCCACTATTTAATTTACTTATTTCATAACCATATGCATGGATTTTAAACTTTCTTTATCATTTTATAACTTAAATTATGTATGCAATAATTTTGGTTTCTAAAAAAAAAAATTAAAAAAAATAAAAAACACATTTTCTATTTCTGTGTATTGTGCATATAAATTTCAGATTCTTCTGCATTAGTACTAATGAAAGTTGCACCAAATAAAGTAAGATAATTAAAACTGTTTCTTTTGCAATTTAATTAACATTTATCTATTTAGATACATTATAAATATGTTGAAATGTTTTTGCTAAGTTTTTGCAATTTTGTTTAGTTTTATTTTTAATTCTGAATTTATAATATGCATTGTTATTGCCTAACTTGCTTTTTATTTTTTCAGAAAGTCTGACACCATTGATTTTAGCTACTCAAAAACAATTTAGTTTTTCTCACATTGTGGCTGGAGCCTCAGCTTTTGGGAAAGTAATAATCCTTTCTATTTCTCTTGTTATATTTTTAAAACAGACAAAACTTTTCGAAAATATTCTTATGATTTTGGTTGATTAGAATGAATTTTTGATTTTGTAATCAATGTTGACTGTCATTTTTATGGATATTGCTATTGTGAAAAAAGGTATAGAACAAGTCTTTGCTGTTATCAATGCTGAGATGATTGTGCTCCAGAAAAAATCCAGATTTTTTGGTATTCATGATCAGGAAGTTTCTGGAAATCATCAGTCACATTTATTTATAAAAATTCTTGTATAAGTATATTTTATTTAAAAGTATTAGAACTATAATTTATACTTTGCATCTCTTTCATTTGTAAATTTTTTTTCTGGTAGAATAATAAATGTGATCAATGTAATTTACATTGATAAATCAGCAATAATATTTTTACTGACAGTAGTAAGGCTCAATTATCTTTGTAGGATTTACCTATTCTGTTTTAGAATTTAGAAAAACTACTAAATGGTTTAGTGAAGATATAAATTATTTATTTTAATTTTTATCAGGAAAATGTATTTATGCAATTAAATATTGCATTACTTTTCCAATTGTGTTATTGTGTCCTATGTTCTGTAATGAGATCTTCTTGATGAACAAGATCTTCTAGAATTTCAACAACTAGGAATACATCAGATCTAGAATTCTAAGAGAAGTATTTCAACAATTAAAAGGTGATATATTTTAAAAGTATAATTTAAAACTGTATGTAATGAGTCTCACAAATTGAGGAAATAGTATCTAAAATATATTTTTATGAATAATTTTCATATTTCATTGAATTGTGATTCTAAAAATATTATATCTCATATTTTGTATTAGTTTCAATTGTATTGTGAATTAGTATCTAAAATATTTTGTGAGAAAACCTTAGTACATTATTTGCAATTTCTAATTGTGTTTTTAAAGAAGTTAAAAATTTTAAAGCATAGAATATAGAAGTACTAAAAATATAAATTTTTCATTGTATGAAGTTTGCATTTTATTCTATTATGAACTTAATATCTAGAGCTGATTTGTTAAGTGCACTTATGAAAAAGCCCACCCAGGTTTTTGGGATTGGGTAAAATCATAACAACCCTGAATTTAGATTATATTTATAATCTATGTCGGTGATTTGAAATTTCTTTAGGAGCTGTCATTAATAATCGAACATTTTAAATTTTTCTTATTCATCTAAATTTTAACATTTAATTAATTTCTTATTTATAACATTTAACAAAAAAAAACGTAGATTAATTATAGGAGAATACTTCAAAAACTATGCAAAGGTGTCTCAAAATAATTTTTTTATTCCAAGGAACAATGTGTTTCTTCATTAATCATGGAATACCACGGGTTAGATGATCACTGTCCTTCAACAACAAAGCACAACTTAGTGAATTCATTTAATTTCAGTGTTAATGGGCAATTTTTATAGCTTATTTTGGTAAATATTTTATAAAATTTTTAAAACTTTTTCTCTCAATATACAATTTAATTAGTTTTTTCAGGTTAATGTTAATTGTTTCAGATTTATTTAATTTTGAAATCAAGTACGTTTTTTCCTAGATAGCCTGTAGCCATGTATTATAACTTTACTCTCATTGTTTAACTTTTAAAATATTTTGTTTTGAATATTTTAGAATTTAATACCCCGAGTAGCAGCAAAGTTGGATGTTTCTCCTATTTCTGATGTAATTGCCATTAAAGACACTGATACTTTTATTCGAACGATATATGCTGGTAAATAAATTTTAATTGCTATTTCTACTAATTAATTCGATAAATGTGGAACTTTTTTATAGGTTTATAATAATGATTAAAGTTTATAATATCTAACAATATATAAATTATTTGTTTTTTCCATAAATATGTATAAAATATACACTTGAATGCATCAGATTTTATTTTTAAAAAAGTATATTTAGTTAATGTCTGCTAGATAAGAATGTCAGGTATATTTTACTGAAAAACCTTCTGTATTCAATATTTATAAAAGTTAAGCTGTTGGAATTAAATATTAATCAACCAGCAGCTTTTGAATTCTGTTTTACTTATCATCTGGTATTTGATACTTTTATAGTAACATATAATCAGGCATTAAATAAAATGTTTTTTTTACTCCTTATTATTTATTGCTTTAGTAAAGTATATTCAAAATATCAAACTTTTTCTTTTCCACTTTTACTGTCTAATTTTTTCATTAGTTTCAGCTTTTTTATCTTCCCTAGTTATTTTGAATTAAATCCTTAATTCAGATTTCACAGAGACCCTTGAATTGATAGCAATTTACCTGACTGTAATTTATGTTTATTGCAACGTGTCTTAAACATAATTTCCAGCATTTTTTTCAATAGCTTGAAAGTGAACTTTAGTTACATACTAAGTATTAAAATGAATTGGTTTTTCTTTTTAAATTTGAATTTTTTTTAAATGAATTTGTATTCTTGCAGAAATGAGAATAGTTGAATTTCCTTTCTTTTTTCAAGAACCTTTTTTTCATGAGAAACTGATGAATTAAGCAAAAACTACAAGCTTGATTAAATTCTAGTAAATTAAATATTTACTTCTTTTCTTTTTATAACATTTTTTTTTTCTCCATAATTATTATTTTTTAATCGGCAATATCTTTAAAGAAGATAAGTTATCAGCAATTATTCTTTTAATTCTATATTTTGCAATTTAAAGTTTTAATTATTTTCATTACAATATCTAAGTTTTAATTATTAAAATTATTTTTCTTAAATATTTTTAGTTCTCTTAAATTGTACACAACACATTTATGTTGTTGCTTTTTGATCTTTTTAGCCAACTTACTTAGATTGATAGTAAGTTTTTATTTATTGCATATTTATTAATTAGTCTATTGGTTTAAAACTGTTCAATTTAAAGCTCTAATTATTCCTTTATTGCAATGTCTAGCACGTATTTTAATTATTGAAATATGCTATATTTTTTATTCAAATATTTTTTACTTTCTTAGTAACTGTAAAACAAAACATTTATGCCGTTGCTTTTTAATTAACTAAGTTATTTAGAATCAATTCCTTAGATTTCAAAAATATTTTTTTTCTAAGTTAAAAGTTTATATTAATAATTGGTTCAGTAAAGATTATTGAATTTGAATTAATTTGGTATGAAAATTTGAAATCATATGCTCTAATTTATTTATTTTTTTAAGGAAATGCTATTCAAACACTTAAAGCTTTAGATAGTATAAAGTTGTTAACCATACGTGGAACAAATTTTTCTGCTTGTGATTTAAGTGGAAGTGGAGCTCCTTCTGAAAAAGGTTAGTGCTTTTGAAAAATTTATTTTTTTAAAAGAATTATTAAAATTAAGTTGTTGTTTAAAAAATTTTGTATAAGGAAAATAATAGTACTCTTTGAAGTTAAATAACTGCCACTTTTTTTTCAAGTAAATTTCAAAGTTGATTTTTGAATATAAAATACATTTATGTATTGTTTGAAAATTTTGTCAATAACAATAAATATTTTAGTTGTATATTGAAGAAGGAGAAAAATAGACTCTATATTAAAATAGTTATAGTATTCTCAATAAATGTTTTTTTTTTAATAAATAAATCTGTCAAAATGTTTTATCAAAATTTTGAGAATTATGGAATATATATTAAATCAATTATTTATACTTTATGTTACATATTAAAACCAATTATAGAATTACTATGACTGAATATGGATTAATTTTATTAACCTAAAATCCAATATAGAACTGCAATAGCAATGATGTAGAAAATGTTCTGTGTAAATCTAAATTATTTCAAACTCTGTACTAATTTTCTGTGTGTACAGAAATTGAAATAATTTAGATTTCTTTCATTAAAGAATCACTCTAACTAATGAAATAATTGCTACTTAATTAGATTAATAATAGTTTTTAATTATTCATATTATGTTTAAATTGTAAAAGATTCCTCAAGCATTATCTTTTATATCTAGTCTCTCATTTTTATTAAATAGCAACGGAAACTGCTGTTTTTATGATGTAAATTTTCATGCAGCTTTTTCCTAAAATCCAATAAAACTGCAATAGCAATGATATAGAAAATGTTAATTTTCTGCGTGTACAGAATTTGAAATAATTGAGATTTTTTTTGATAAAAAAATCACTAGAAATGGCATTCTAGATATAAAATAACTAATGAAATAATAGCTACTTACTTATATTAATAATAGTTTTTAATGATTAATATATGTTTAAATTGTACAAGTTTCCTTAAGTATTACCTTTTATATCTAATCTCTTATTTTTAGCAATGGAAACTGTAGTTTTTATAATGTAAATTTACATGCTGCTTTTAATAAAAAATGAAGGAAAACTGTATAATAATTATGAAAATTGGTTATAAAAAATAAATTTTCTCCATTATTATTCAAGAGCCATCTCAAAAATGTTTTCTAATTTAAAATTTTGTTGTCCAGTGGTGAAAAAAATTACTTAGCAATGTAACATACCGTCTGGTATTGTGCCAATAAGAAATGCATTAAGTTCTCATCAACTTTTTTTTTGTAGCATTACAGTTTATAAATTTATTTTGTGAAGTTGCCAGCTTAATTATTTGGTTTCCTTCCCTTATTTCAGCCCCTGATTGTGATATTAAAAATGAAGTGTCTGAGTGGGTGAGCCAAGAATTGTCAAAAAGTGAAAGACCTGAACTAACAAGTGCAAAACGAGTTATTTCTGGAGGTAAATTTCTTTCTTAAATATTTTTCTTCAAAATGCAAATCATTACAAAGTATACTTACTGCAATTTGTGTTATACAAGTGAAAAAATTTGGAATGTTTGAATTTTTTATCTAATAAATAAAATCCATTAGTTTACACATCCGTTTACCGTTTAACACATCCAATTATTTGTTAAAAGTTTTCTTATTACAATAATAATCATCTGGTTATTTTTAAGATTATTGTGATCTTGAAGTTTTTGCACTGTGGTTTTAATAATATTTTTTCATTAATGTCTTTTTATTTATATTTATTACATAAGCGTCTGATTTATGTATGATCTTTTTGTTAAATTTTAGTAGTAGCTCAACATAAGAATTTTAATATGTGTTAAAAATATAACTTATCTTTAAAAAATAATATATTAATTTTTATAAAAAATAAGTTATTATTTATAAAATTACCCCATAGCTTGTTTTTTTTTCTCAATTTCATTAGCATTTTTTTTTTCAGACATTTTAAAAAGTAAAATAGTTGGTGAATTTCAGTGTTAAAAATGTTTAACATTAAGTTGAAAATCTACATAACCATATGTAGATATGTATGTAAGATAACAATATGTAATATATTATTATAACCTTTTACTCCATAATTTGTTTTAATGGCAAATTTTAATTTCTAAATACTAGTTGTAGTTAACTTTTTAATATATAGTAAAATTTGCAAATTTTAAATTAAGAATACAATGCCTGCACTTAGTTTTCTATATTAAATAACGTTTATGTCACAAGACTGTGGCAGACTTTAATTTTGAGTTGCTGATGTAAAAGAAATATTTTTTAATTCATGTTTTTTTTTTTTTTTTTTTTTTTTTTTTTTTTTTTTTTTTTTTTTTTTTTNTTTTTTTTTTTTTTTCATTTGAAGCACAAACTGAAATGTTAAATGAAAATGTGTGTAACATTTCAAACTCTTTAACCTTTATTAGGAACCTTTTTTTTTTTCTTTCTACATACAATTTATTTTAACAATCAGCGTCAGGTTGTTATATTTGAGCTCAAACTTTTGCACAATAAACATTATTATTAAATTTAATTTTTGAAATTTTAATTTACTCCAGATTTTTTGAAATGCTTAAACAAGTGATGAAAATGTTAATTTATGTTTTTTTTTTTTTTTCAGGCCGTGGTATGAAAAGTGGCGACCAGTTCAAGATATTGTATGATCTTGCTGACAAATTAAAAGCTGCCGTAGGAGCTTCTCGAGCAGCTGTAGATGCTGGATTTGTTCCTAACGACATGCAAATAGGACAAACTGGAAAAATTGTAGCTCCTGTAAGTTTTTATAAATTTTCATGATTTCTATCTTTATTTATATGTATTTTCATCTAATATTTCATTATTATTAAGCTCATATTCAACAATTAATTAATATAATTTAAATGTTGATTCTTAAGTGAGATGCATAAAATAAAACTTTGTAAAATTTTTTAATCAAATATTTTAAAATTCCTATATTATTTCAAAGGACTTTTTAATATCAAAAGCCTAATATGCATACCTTAAATAAACATGGGTCCTATGATTCCAAAGTACCTCTGTTAGCTTTCTTCATTTTGTAATACAAATTAACTTTTTGTATTATTGCTGCTAAATTTCTTTACTGTAAATATTAAAAGATAGTTTTATAGTTACTGAAATTAAAAAGCAATTTAAAAAAAAGGTTTCTAAATGAATTGCTTTGGTAACCCAGCAATAATATTATTTTAAGGTATCAAATCAACAGTATGACATAAATAAATATTATACCCGTTATCTAGGTATTATATACTATACCAAATAAAGTTGCAAAAAAGAAGTATGATCATTTAAAACTTTTATTTGGAATGAAAATGGTTTATTTTAGTCAGAGCTCCCACCGGTCAAGGAGAACCGGGAAAACCTAGAATTGTCTAGAAATTTATTTTGACTATAGGCAGGGAAGGTTGCATTTTTTTTCCTTCATCATACCTGGAAAATGATCAGTCTTTGAATTGCCATTAACAGTAACCAGTTATTGAGATTTGATTTAAATAATTCTAACATCAATTACAATTATTAGATAAATTCCACATTGTAGTGAAACTTTTAGTGTTCCCATCCTCATTCAATTTTATTTATTTTTTTGCTTGCAAAATCTAATATTTTACGTAACAAATTTTAAAAAAATCACAATTTTCCACTGAAAAAGTGCATGATATAGATAAAATATGGTCTCGATTTACATTAAAATTTTCCTGATGTACCAGAAAAAGTCTTTTTTTTTTTTCTGAAATTAAGTGGGAACCTTGTTAGTATCAGTTGAAAGTAATTGGTGCAACAAGAAGTTTCATATATTTTTTTTTCTTCAATAAGAAATACATAAAATGGGTTATTAAATCTGATCTAGTAATCAGATTAACCAGAATAATAACCTAGCACAAATATATAAGCAATTACCTGTTGTTTTTTTATAGTTCTTTGGTTTTGAAACAGCAAAAAAATAATAATAATAAAGAATTATAATATTTGCTAACAAGACTAAATATGCATGCGGCCCTTTAATCTACCTGCTGTGCAAGTGGCTCTTCACTCAAAAAGGTTTTGCATCCCTACTTTACAAAGAACGAGTATTCAGCTAGTATAATATACAATGCATACCTGCCAGGGAAAAAAATAGGAACACTTCACGCGGTCGCAACATTAAAGTTTACTTCTTTACACTAAATGTTTGTATAATTGTAACTGTATAAGATTTAATGTAACAATTATTATTGATTATATTACACATTTGATTGTCCGACGAGTCATTGCTCCCATCTGTCGCTATGTTAAACACATTAGTCTTCAGCTTTTTTATTATTTGTTATTTCTTGAACCAAGTAACTATTTTCCGTTCTCCCGCACAATTTTTTTTTTACCTTCAGAGAATTTGGAAACATCGCACAAAACAACTTTGATGCATGGTCCGCAGCAGCTAACGGAATATTGTGTTCAAGGAGAAATCCTGTGAACAATAGTTCGCTTCTAATTGATTGTAGATCAATAGTTGACGACACAAAATCGGAAATTTTTGCCGACTTTTTCATATTTGTATACGCGGTAGCATGCTTAGCTGTTATCCTATGTGAAATGATATAACACTTTCCGCCATGTGCTATACTAATATCTGTATTGCAAGCAATACATAATGTGTACGATGTCCCCTTCCTTGATTTTTTGATGAAATCAAATTCTTCACTATAATTGTCGCAAAAACACTGACTTCTCCGAATTTTTGACATTTTTTCAGATTACCACGTGGAAAAACATTCAAAGCTAAACTCAAATCGAAGAGATGTGTTCCGAGTAAACATTCAGCACCGGTACGGTTTCTAGTAAAAGAGAAGGAGTCAGGAAGCTAAAATTTCCTCTTGGTGTCTGTGAAGCGACCAGTACATATGTCATCAAATATACGAATGGAGCTAGAGGCGGAGCTAAGTGATAACGCGACTTGATTGGATTTCGCCAATCGGACATGGATCGCTTTATAGAGTAAAAGAAAAAATTACGCTATGATGAAAAATCGGAACATTTTGACCCAAAATCGTATGATCGGAACAAGGCATAAAAATCGGAACCGTTCCGATAAAATCTGTACACTTGCCAGCTATGACAATGTTAATTTATGTGCTCAAAAATTTAATTTTAAAAATGCCATGCGATGAATATAAAGACTATTTGCTCCTAAAATCAAACTTTGTTCCAAAACACATTTTTTCTGCTCCAAAATTATTATAAATGTTCAATCCCTGAATATTTCGTACTTTGCCTAAAACCATCTAGCATTGTATGAAATGTCAACATTTTCCATTTTGCCAGTAACATATTTATAAGTTCTGTGTTATAAGAATTATTTTGTTATTTTTATAGGAATTATATATAGCTGTAGGAATTTCTGGTGCCATTCAACATTTGGCCGGAATGAAAGACTCTAAAACTATTGTAGCTATTAATAAAGATCCTGAAGCTCCTATTTTTCAAGTAGCAGATCTTGGATTAGTAGCAGATTTGTTTAAAGCCATACCTGAAATGTCTGGAAAAATTGATCAGTATATCAACAAATAAATTACATGCTCTGCTATTTTTATTATACAATGTTAATCATACATTTTTCACGAAATTAAAAAATATATTATTGTGTTAATAGTACGATGATTAAAAACATTTTATTTCTCATACTACCATTTACAATATAAATTTATGTATATGTTTCTACTTATTTATATTCTCTTCAGAATTCAAAATAATCAGAAAATTTATAATTTAATCAATTAATATGGCTTTTGAGAAATTTTACTTAAGTAATCAATGAAGAATTTTTGTTGCTTATTACAACTCATGTTTAAGTGTAAAAAATATGTATTTGATCAGTATCAGTTCTTTTGTTCATTTTGTACATGAAAAGTACGTATATCTCAGTAAATGTTTTCATATTTACAGTTAACACTTTGTATTAAATTAATATTTTGTAATAAAATATTTTATTGTATTATTTGACTCTCTTTTTAACCACTTTCTAATCAGTAATTAACATACATGTGATTGGAAAACATTTGCTTTATTCTTATATAGGGTTAAAAGAAAAATATTTATTCTTTTTTAAGGATTAATTCAAATTTATTAACACATTTTCCTCTATTATATTCTTTAAGGCAAAATAACAATATAAAACTCTATTCACACATACCTTAGCTACAAGTGAAGTTTCCTCCCTCAACTGCGTTTAGGAAAAAAATTGTGATTAAATATTTATTATTGAGAGTGTTTGAGAAAAAGAAAGGGGCTGGAATGTATATAAAATAAAGATGAATGGTGAGAGGGGAGCAATCTTGATTTTTCAACAAAATTTTGATTAAAAATTTTTTTTCCCAAAGCCCACCTGGAGAATGACCTTTTCGTCATACAGGCGCCTGAAGTGCAAGATTTGTTGGCCACTCTTTCAGGGGCATCATATTAGCTTCCCTGGGATTCGAACCCAGAACTTTTCTGATGCAAAGCCAGTTCCCGGACCCTACACAGACCGGTCAGCTAATTTGAAATACATCTTTCTTTATTTTTAATAGTCCGATAAATCAAGAGAAGTGAGAGCCGTTGCTCGGGATACTCTACACTGATGTTTTTTTAAGGTTAAGTGCCACTGCTCGTTTCACCCTAAACTGATGTTATTTAGGTTAAGTGCCATTATCTAGCATATATTTGACCAGTATACTCTACACTGGTGTGTGTGTGTGTTTTTTTTAAGTTTAAAGGCCTTGAAAAAACACAAAGTGTAAAAAGAATCAAAACCCTCTAGCACAAAGTCTTCGTACAACAAATGAACAATGCAAACAAAGGGTGGGTGTATGCATCCGAAGTAAACAAGTAACTCCCACTGTGTAGCTATTTTCGCTAGTAACCCCTTATCATAATTGCTTACCATTATGCATGCTTATTAGAAATCTCTAGTCAAATGTATTGAAATAAATTACATTGAACAAACTTCGCTCACAATTAATAACCATTAAACGTGATTAATTCTTAAAAGAATCACTTTGACCTAATTACATGGTTATTATTAATAACAGATTGACTCTATCATGCATGCCATATAATTGCAACTACAAAGTTCTTGAATCTTAAATATTACTGCAAATACAGAAACTTACTGATGGCCTTAAACTTTTGAATCAGATTGCAGGCATCATAAAACAATATTTACCAAAGAGAGAAGGTTAATACTTACAAAAGTCTTAATCTGGAGAATTTGGTTCTTTCAAGTATTAATTATTAAAAGTGTTAACTTGAAAAGACAGTAAAACTAACCAGAAAAAAATAAGACAATTTTTTTTAAGAACATTTAATATAACTTTGTAAACTACATGTATCACTCGGTATAAAGATCACAAACAAATTGGCATCTCTGAACNTTGCAAGGCATCCAAAATATGTTCAATAATGTTCATGTCTGGGGCTTTTGGTGGAAAACGGAAGTGTCTAAATTCAGAAGAGTGCCGCTGCCACCAAAATCCTCAGACTTGAACATATTTTGGATGCCTTGCAACGTGATGTTCAGAAGATATCCTTGCAGGATTCATGGCGTCAATTATCTTCAGCACAACTTCACACATTGATCGAATCTATGCCATGTCGTGTTGCGGCACTTCTGCGTGCTCCCGGGGGCCCTACACGATATTAAGAAGGTATACCAGTTTTTTTGGCTCTTCAGTATACACACCAGTATACTCTACACTGGTGTGTGTGTTTTTAAGTTTCAAGGCCTTGAAAAAACAAAAAGCGTAAAAAGAATTAACTCCCTCTAGCGCCAAGTATACCTACAACAAATGAACAATGCAAACAAAGAGTGGGGTGGGTGTATGCATCCAAAGTAAACAAGTAACCCCCACTTTGTAGCTGTTTTCGCTGGTAACCCTTTACCATAATCACTTACCATTACGCATGCTTATTAGAAATCTAGTCAAATGCATTGAAATAAATTAGATTGAACAAACTTCATTCACAATTAATAACCATTAAATGTTATAAATTCTAAAAGAATCACTTTAACCTAATTACATTTTTATTATTAATAACAGATTAACTACACTGACTCTATCATGCATGCTGTTTATTTGCAACTACAAAGGTATTGAATCTTAAATATTACTGCAAATACAAAAACTTACTGATTGCCTTAAACTTTTAAATCAGATTGCAGGCATCATAAAACAATATTTACCAAAGAGAGAAGGTTAATACTTACAAAAGTCTTAATCTGGAGAATTTGGTTCTTTCAAGTATTAATTATTAAAAGTGTTAACTTGAAAAGACAGTAAAACTAACCAGAAAAAAATAAGACAATTTTTTTTAAGAACATTTAATATAACTTTGTAAACTACATGTATCACTCGGTATAAAGATCACAAACAAATTGGCATCTCTGAACACTAATTTAGAAAAATATACAATAAACTTTCAAAGCATCTACATTTATACATAAATATAACACTTGTTACTAGCTTTCTATCATATAGCAGCCTAAATATGTACAAGAATATAGCTAAGTTTTAAATGTGAACTACATTTTAAAGAAAAAAGAAATGCTTCTCAAACTGAAGATAAATGCAACTATTTTGCATGAAATAATGCATTTCACACATTAAATAGATATTAAATGATGTTCAAATTTAAACAAGTACTTTAACTTCTTATTTCCTTTCTGAATAATATGAGCTGCAGTTAAAAATAAATTATATTTAGAAAGCACAAAAAAGTATTCTGAATTGGTATTAAATGTGATGTGAACAATAGGGTTATTAAGACTGATTAACAAATATATATATATATGCAAACAAATGATAAAAGATAAATTATATTTAGAAAGCACAAAAAAGTATTCTGAATTGGTATTAATTGTGATGTGAACAATAGGGTTATTTAGACTGATTAACAAATATATATACAAACAAATGATAAAAGATATAACAAAAGAAGTATGACACTTCTATAGGTACAATATAAGTTTTATTAATATAGTAGGGAAATGTAAACTAACAATTATTTATCCCATTTATTATTTATCTTGGTTACAAACACAAGTTTATTTAGTCACATTATTGTTACAAAAAACTCCAATCAAATCATTTCGTTATAAAAATTTTCTGCTATCATGATTCAAGACTTTTTTTTTTAATAAATACTGATTGTTTCAAATAAATAGCAATGGAATAAAACTGCTAGAAACAGCATAAAAATAGTGTTCAATATGCTACAGAATAGTCTTAAATTTCCATGATTAAACCTATGCTAGTAAATATTTTAATATGCAAATGTATAATTAAAAAAGATCTAATTGCCTTTGTACTTTTTAATATCATATTCAAAATTAAAAGAAATTTTGTTTCCTAAATTCAGTTGGCGACTTTGTAAAGTTTAAGAATTTCAAATTAACCTGTTAAATTAAACTATTAATAAGCCCATATCATAATTTTATTTTAGCATTTCTGAAAAATGAAAACAACCACATTAAATAAAATATGGTCTCTAAAATTATCAATAATAAAAACTCAGAGATTGAGGAGTTACAAACATTTAAATTACAGGGTTTTGACACAGAGAAATTCTAAAAGGTGTTAAGTAATTAATTTAAAAAACTTCCAAGGCATCCCTTGGATATTTGAAACAATCTAAATGAAACAGATAAAAGTTACTGAGTTTTTTTCTTCAGGCAAAACGAATAGCATACAAAGACGTGGAACAAAATCTTAAAATGAGAATATTATAGCTTTTCATTATTAAAAAAAATTATTCATTTTAAACAAGCAAACTGATAAAAAAAACACTATAAATATTTTGAAATATATGAAGATAAAATATGCAGCTTATTTAAGTGGTTCAAATATATTGCGGAGTTTTACAATGCCCAGTAGATTTTCTATTATGGCATGAAAAATTACTAACTTATTGATCTTGTTCAATCGCAAAATAATTTTTTGCCGGAAGCCAGTAGCATTTTGGAATTCGCAGAGAAAAAGACCAGTATCTGTTAAAGCCAATATCAGAAGTTTCTGAAAAAGAAGATATTTCTTAATACTTTTTATAATTATCATTTCTTTTTAAAGTTTCAATTTTATTAAAAATAAAAACTCACTGCTCTTTGGCTTATCATCCTCAGAATTTAAGTATTTCATCTAAGAAGGAAAAAAAAAACATTTAAAAAATTAGTACTGATGCACTGAATGTTTACTGTCAAGCAGTGTATAGTCCAACAACTATACAATGCAAACTTTAACAATATTTGGACTATACACTGCAAGACATGCAGTGTATAGTCCAAATAGAGTTAAAGTGAATTACTAATAAATAAGAAAGTACTAAAAAAATTTAAAATACCTTCTAAATATTTTTAGACACTTAAAAACATGTTCACTTGCATTAAGCAAATATTTATATTTAGAAATAATTCAGTGTAAATAACTAATTAGAATGGAAAACATTGTTTTTGGTTTTAAATTAAACACAATTTTCATTTATGTGAGAACATTTTTAATCGAAACAAAAGTAAATCTAAAAATCTAATAAAAAGGAACCCAGACACATTTATATAAAATAACTTCTGGTTCCAGTGAATGTGGTCACAAACTTGCAAAAGTTTGTGATCACATTCAAAATGGTATCTAAAATAATGCATAAACTGATTTTTTTTTTTTTTTAAGTGAGAATTTAGAGCAAGAAACAACAAATGTTAAATGTTCTAAAAATTGAATGTACAGCAAAACAAAAAGAAAATCAAGACAGTGCCTTTCTTGTAAATAAAATATAAAACTACCTCAATATAGTTGGACAGAAGTTCCGATGACATTTCTTGTTGAAGAATTTCCTTATTGGAAGGATTGTTATAACAACAAGCAATTAAACTAGGGAAAAGTACATCAGTCAACTCAGGATCACAGAAATAAAGGAATGGCAGGCAGCATAATTGTTGAAGAACAGTCGGTCTCTGACCAGCTTGTATTATTGACTAAAAAAATTTAAAAAACATTCAAAACTGTTGAATAGGGTTATTTTTTAATTGTAATTAGAGTAATCGATATCCAATTGTACCTGATTTTCAGAATTTAGAATGGTGAAGTATCCGACTAGTATGATTATCTCATGAAGAAGTTTTTCAGAGGTTAAGTGACTGCAATACCATAATAAGTGGCTCACAATGTGTCTTAATTGAAGGGATAGTCCTTCACTGCCCAAAATACTCTAGGGAAAAAAATAATGTATCATTAAAATGTTTTGTAAACTATTATGTGCCTTATCTTGCACTTAATATCAATTTTGTATGGATTTAAATAGCATGAATTTATATATATTTTTTTAACATGGATTAACAAATTAGATTTTTTACATTATTAGGCTTACAGCAAAAAGAGAAATTCTTTGCCTATTCGATTAATATTTCAGTGTAGGGATTATTTTGTCACTTACACTCCATCTCTAAACATGCATAAGTCAATTTTTAGCTGGCGAACTGCCATCCATTTTGGGAAGATTTACAGTTGGTCTGACGAAGCAAAATTGTTGCTTTTTTGGGACAATTTGAAAAAAAATAATCTTTGCTTTTGGATTTAAACCTTTCTTCTATAGAAAAAAGTAATCATGAGTTGCATTTTATTTACTGTGGTATAAATTTTTTATACATAATATAATTTTTTTTTTTTTTTTACAGTAAAATTATTTGGAACAATTCTACTGCAACTGTATCAAAATTTCTGCTTTGGGCAGTTTTTTTTTCCCCTTAGAAAAGAATTTATATCCTAGAAATTGTTTTAAAGAAGAAGAGAACTGCTAGAATATGCAGGAAGATAAAGATTTGAAGCCCATTTTTGTACAAAAATATATTCGTTTAAGTAACTAAGGTGGATTGGATATGGAAGTATCAAAAACACAACTGTATTTAAAATTTATACCAACACGAAAAAAAGTCATAAATCATTTTGAATGCACACAGAAATCAGCACTTACTTGGAAAGCTTGGAGATTCATCACAGCCATGTGGTTAAACATTTGAATAGCTGAATGGGCCAGAATTTCAATCGGCTTAGAGAGCTGCGTTGGGGGATCCTCACCACGTGATGAAGAACCCTTATGAAGAAGAAGGCCATATAGGAAAGATATCACTCCCACTATGTTAGTTACTCGTAGAGTAGCAACTAATTGAGTTGTATCTTCCACTTTTTGTCCAGATGTTACACTGAGGCTAAAATTACAAACAAATGCACGTTTTTCAATAATTAACAAATGCATAGACATGCTTCGTGATCATGAAATCTATCAGAGTTTAATTTACAAATGTTTTATTAACACGTTATTAAAACAATTTAATTGGGTAAGAATGGAATTTATAATTAATTTAAAAGCTAAGGTATAGCATTACTCAAAAACACTCAGAATCATTATTCAAAAATACCTTAACATTATGTAATTTAAAACTATTTCTGAGGCAGATTCTTAAATATGACACTGAGTTTGATATATTTTTGTTATAGTCACAAGATCTGAGGATGAGAATGTAACTTTTGTAGAAAAAAAAATCATATCTGCAGCTTTCTACAAGTTTCAATATGTTATTCTAAAATTGTATGATTGTGGATACTATTTTTAAAAAAAAGTCCCCATTAAAAGGTGACAACAAAAAAAGAAAACTATGTCTTTTTTTCTTTCAAATAAATAGATTCAAATCTATTTTTATAAAAATCATATGATTTCTGTGATCATTCTGTTGAAGCCAGTATATATGTTGTACTAGTAGAGCCACCTACATTAATTAGAAAAAAAAGTTACTTCTTTAGTTGGTTTCATTGCGTCTATAGAGATGGACCAATGCGCTGTTCTTAATAAATGCATTAATTATTGTTAATCCGCAATTCATTATTTTATTTGTCATTTACCTAAAATCCGATCAACATTATTTTCCTGAGCTCGAAATATACGAACCACGCAAACCCAAATTAAATAAAAAATATTAATATGGTGAAGTCGAGCCGCTGCATGGCTCGTGAAGATAGTGTTGCGCATTAAATAATAATCAACGCCTTCCATTGGATTACTAACGCATGATATGGTAATATATTCTAAATTTATCCCAAAGAAGGGGTAAGAAGACTATAGTTGTTTGAACTATTTTAGACATTAAACAAGGCAAAAGAATTAGAACTCCAAAAAGTAAAAACAAAACTGTCTTCTGTACGAAGAGCAATAACTGGTTATTCGAAAAAAATAGAAGGTAATTTATCAGTAGAAGAAATTAATTTTGATGAATTATCTGAAAACTTTTAGAGCTATTAAAAACAAAAGAAACGGAGTTAAAAAAGATAAACTCTGCAGTTGAAAATCTTATTGAAGATGAAACTGAATTGAATAACGAACTAGATAAGGCAAACGAGAACGGAAAAAAAAATTATATACAGTAGGGAACCGATTATCCGGAACGATCGGGACCATCGCTATTCCGGATAACTGATTTTTCCGGTTTTCGGAATCGCTACAAAAAGACGTTTTTTTATTGTTAAACCTAAATAAAAAATAAAAAAAATTTGGAAATAATCTTAAATAGAAGAAAAAACGATGAAGTAATACACTAATGATTATTTCCAAAATGATGGTAAGGTGAACATCTTTCAAAAAAGAAAGAAAAATCCTAAAATCTTATGAGGAAAAAAAAATTTCTTTTAAAATGGCGGGAAAATTTATCGAATTTCGTTCCGGTTTTTTGGTTTTCTGATTTCCGGATAACGGGTTCTGTACTGTAATAGAAATTTCGTGGTGAGAAAAAACTAAAAGAGCAACCGAGAAATGAGTCAGTTTTTTCTGCTCCAAGCTTCGAGAAAAACGCGAGTGAAACTATAAAACTTCTGAAGCTGTTCTTACCTTTTTTCAGCGGTAATATTACCAAGTGGCTAACTTTTAAAGATTTATTTAAAGCTACCGTAACTAAAAATGAATGGTTACCACACGCGCAAAAGCTTCAGTATTTAAAGACATCTTTAAAATGTGATGCTTCGCGAATTTCGGATAATAATTTAGAAATAGCTTGGAATTTGTTAGACAAAGGGTATTCAAATACGAGAGAACAAACTTTCGCTCATGTTAAACACTTTTTAAACCTTCCGATTATTCATAATGAATCCGCTACATCTTTATTGAACTTGGTTGATAATGTAAATGAAATTATTCGTCCATTAGAAACCTTAGGCCAAAAAATTTATACTTTTAGTGGCACTTTAATGTTGTATTTAATATTGCAAAAATTAGATAGTTCCACTAAATTGTGGTGGGAGCGCCAATTAAATAATACTGAAATATCCAAACTCAACGATTTAATGTAATTTTTGAAAAGCTATGCTAGAACTCTTTAAACCAGCAAAAGTTCGTCCAGTAAATTTCAAAAACCTATTAATGCTAAAGTTAATTCTTTTGTTTCGCTTTCTATATGTGTATATTGTAAAGATAATCATTATATTTCAAAGTGTTCGAAATTTTGTAATTTACCAGTTCAGCAAAAGATTGATTTCGTTAAAAATAATAATCTTTGTTATAACTGTTTATCAGGAATTCACACTATAAAAAAATGTAAATCTTCTAACACCTGTTTTAAGTGTAATCGCAGACATCACAGCTCTTTGCATAGAGATGAGAAACCGAAACCCTTTTTTCCCTCTTTAAGTGCCCCTGAATTTATACCCAGAGCAGATGTACAGAATTCANCCAGCAGATCACCGAAGTCAAGCATCACTGGCTACGGTCAGTGTGCGGGTGGGTGACCACTTGGATCAGTCTGCGTAGGGACCGAGGGTGTGCGGTGTTGGTCCTAGTTAAACTGTTCTACCGTAAAATGCTCGACTTCGCGTGCAGGTCGTTGGGCTAGCGAAGCGGGGGGGGGGCATCCCCTCTGTAGAGGATCGAAATTGTGATGGCATGTCTTCGGATCATACTCAGGGATGTTTCCCTGACAGTCGCCAATAGCCCATTGTGCAGCTCTAGTGCGACGTAAATTGACAGCAGAAACAACAACAATTAAATTAAAATCAATATGATGTAACTTAATATTAGTATATGTAATTAAAATATTATATATTAAAATTAATATATGTCATTAAAAATTATCTAAAATATAAACAATCAACGCCCNACGCCAGCAGCCGCGCCGATTAATGAAGTTTCGTCTACAGTTTGTGCGAATTATTCGAATAGTGAGCAATTGGATGATAACATAAATCAAAAGAAATCTTCAGTTCTTTTACGCACAGCTATAGTCAAGGTTATAAATTCTCAAAACGAATTAATTAACTGTCGAATCCTTTTAGACTCGGGATCTGAGAAAAACTTTATTGTACGCGAATGCGTCAGCAAGTTAAAATTAAAAATAAATCCAGCTCAAATATCTATTTCCTGTTTAGGAAGTTGTAATACTTCTAGTAATGGGCAAGTTGATTTATTATTTTCGCCGCATTTTAATGATAATTTTAGATTCTCAACATCCGCATATGTAATCGATAAAATTTGCGGGAAAATACCGAACTCTTCCATGCCAATTGATTTGTCTAGAAAATATCAAGATCTCGTACTAGCTGACTCATATTTTTGGAAATCTGGAGATATTGATATTCTATGCGGTGTAAATGCACTCTTTACATTAATTAACGGAGAAGTAATAAAACGCGATGAAAATCTTTCTTTCACAGTATGCTTAAACTAGGTTGGATAATTTCCGGAGCAACTACTTTTGAATGCGCTAAAACCAAACAGTTTTCAGTTAATAATTTTAATATTAACACGGATGACTTAGTTAGAACTTTCTGGGAATTAGAACAAATTCCTTCAACACAACCGCTAACAAAGGAAGAAAATCTTTGTGAGACACATTTTGTGGAAAATGATGCGTAATAAAGAAGGCAGGTATTCCGTCAGACTTCCGTTTAAACCTAATAAGGGAATTTTGGGAAATTCAAAAGCCTCCGCTTTTAAGTCTAGAAAAAAGACTTTTAAAAACACCTTTTATTTATTTGCAGTACAAAAACTTTTTGGCAGAGTACCTTGGCATATGGAGGAAGCTAATGACCTAAATTTAAATAACAAAAATGAGCACTATTTTATCCCGCATCATCACGTAATTAATGATTCCAGTCCAACCACAAAACTGAGGGTTGTTTTTAACGCCAGCTCAAAAACTTCATCAGGGTTATCACTGAATGAAACGCTAATGAATGGTCTTAAAGTGCAAGATGATCTTTTCGCTATTCTTCTAAGGTTTAGATGTTACAATATCGCGATAACATGCGATTTGCAAAAAACGTATCAACAAATAGAGATTCATAGTGAAGATCATAATTTTCAAAAAATTATATGGAGAGATGATCCCATGAAACCAGTTAGGGAATATCGCTTGTGTACCGTAACATATGGTACCGCGCCGGCCAGTTATTTGGCAACGCGAGTTTTAAAACAATTAGTCATAGATGAAGGATTGGATTTTCCTAAAGCAGCTAATTTAATCTTACATAATTTTAATATAGATGACGGCTTGTTTGGAGCAGAAAGTGCTGACGAAGCCGTTGCAGTAATAAATGAACTTAATGAGCTATTGAGAAAAGGAAAATTCGAGCTTCACAAATGTACCAATAGTCCTTCTGTTTTGGAATTTCTAAGACAACCTAAAAATATTGACAATACACCATGTAGGACTGCTGACTCTAAATTCATTAACGTGCTAGAGTTGAGATGGGACCCAAAACATGGTGAGTTTACCTACAACATTTCCTTTTGTGATGATTATAAGGATGAAAATCCTACAAAAAGGTCCATCCTGTCCTGTGTGTCAAAAATCTTTGATCCACTGGTTTGGTTGTCCCCTATTAACGGCAAAAATTCTAATTTAGGAATTATGGAAGCATCAGTTGGCTTGGGATGATCCAGCGCCCTAGGATATTTAAGAGCAGTGGATTAAATATCGAGAAGATATTTCACAAGTTACGTTAACTGTACCTAGAAAAGTTCTTCATCCCATCTGGAATATAACTTTGTTTCTGTGATGCGTCGGAAAAGGCGTACGATGTCAGGCGTTAAGTCATTACTTAAAATCAACTACTAAAACCACTGCACATTTTAGTGTACTTACATCCAAAACTCGAGTCGCGCCATTGAAAACGATATCAATACCACGCCTTGAACTTTGTTCAGCCGTTTTATTAGTGCACCTTT